GCCGGCGCCCGCGAGCGCTTGCGCGACCTGGATGTCGACGTCGTTCCAGCGGCGAGCAAGGTCAGGTACCCAGCAGCGCAGACCTTGGAGCAGCAGCCGAGGCTGCTCTATCACTCGCGCCCGAGGGATGGTCAGGAGCCAGCTCATTATCCAGTGCTTGCGCTCAGGGTGCTGGTTCGGGCGACTGTGTCGCTTGACCGGGGTTCCGACCTCAGGGGGCTGGTTCGGGCAACTGTGTCGCTTGACTAGGGGTCCGAGCTCGTCCTGCATTAGGCGCAGAGCCTCGTCGAGCAGCGCCGCGAGTTGCCGACGCAGCTGCAGGCAACCCAACGCCCTCGGACTGGACTCGCTTCGACGTCATTGCCTCCTCGCGAGCACGTCGCAGCGATTCGCGTGAAATGCGCGCGCGGGAGCTTCGCAAGCTGCGCCTCCGGTGGTGGCGCGCCACCGTTGAGGAGATGACGCGAACACTGCGAGCAGCTAACGTGCCACGGGACATCCTCGACCTCATTCACGCGGTTGTCAACGACTGCAGGGGTCGTCGCAAGTGGCGGCCGCCAGCGCGCCAGACCATCCCCCCACTCCGCTGGTCGACGCGATTCAACCAGCACGACGAGTGCGACATTCTGTTCTACAAGGATCGTATGATTACCCACTTGATCAGTTGCGCCGCGCGCTGGCGCCATGGTCAGGAGGTCGCGTCCAAGCGCGCTTCGACGCTGCTTGCCGCCATCGATCGCTCATGGATCCAGCTGTCCCGCTCGATGGAGACCGGCGTGGGGCCATTCTGTGCCGAGCACTTCACGTCGCGGAGGAGCAGCTTCACCGCGAACTTCGACTCCATGCTTGCGCGTGTCATCTTTTCTGGTAAGAGCCTCGCCCGCATGGGGGGCGTTTCCGCTGTGCGACGTCGTGCATGCTGCCGTGCGACGTCGTCTCGGGGCGGCAGCCGTCCGTGCTGCCATCGGTCGACGAAGACGAACAGGGTGAGGCATCGCGTCGCCAGTGCCGAGCCTCTTGTTGGTGGGGGAGTGCAGCCCAGCTGACTGCAGTGGCGCATCCGAGAGAGCCCTGCAACGCATGATCGAAGCCACTTCGATTGCGCGCGTCAGCCGTGCCTGCAGGGCCCGCGCCGTTGAGTCCGGGGAGGGCCGCTTCAACGTGGGGCACCAGGTGGAGATCCGCGGGCCGCCAAGCACCGAGGATATGCCAGGCTGGGCGGGCCCAGGGACAGTCGCGCCTGTTGATCCGGCTCGATGCAAAGTGGCGGTCAAGTACCGCCGAGCCGAGATGGCCCGCGGATTGCAAGACGTCTGGGCCTTCATCGGTGCCGTCTTCGACGAGATGGGCGTCGGCATGGCGCGAGCAGGCTTGGCCTGGCACGCGGTAAAGGATTTCCTGGAGCACGTGGCACAGGGCTCCGGGGCCAGGGCCTTCGGCCACTGGGAGGACACCGAAGGCGTGCATCTCACGGAGCAGGCGCGACAACGCCCAGACGGCCCCGAAGCCCTGCGCCATTTGTCCCGCATATGCTTTAAGCTACCAGACGTTCGCGTTGTGCGACTCACTCGCGGGCGGCAATCTGTGGGCAATTGGCCGGGCTGTGCCCGCAGCCTGGCCACCTGGCGGTTCCTGCGGAACCGCGCCGACGTCCGGCATATCCACCTCAGCGGCGTCGCGTTCGACGCCCGCGAGTTCATCGGCGAGCATTGGAAGGAAGTTCGCATCATCCAGTTTATCTTGGGTGAGGAGCCGTTGATGGTGCCAGACGCCGGACAGGCCCTGGGCGGCTGGACGGAGCGTTTGACGACTGTGTCATCGACATTCCGAGGTCACCGCCAGGACCACCGAAGGTGATGACCGTCAGCCTTGTCGCTTATACCAGAGGAGACTGGCAGCGACTTCTCCGGCCGCATCCAACAGGTGACGGTGGCAGCTCGGCGTGAAGTTGAGGGGGCAGAAAATTTGGCCCAGGAGCTGGAGGGTCTGGAGAGCGCCGACAGCTGGCGTGCTACATCCGCTGCCATTGACCACGAGGGCAAAAACACACATACACGAATAATCGTCGATCCCCCAGAGAATGCGGAAACTGCGAAGTGGGGGGAAGACGAAAACCCATAACATATGGACACATAGTGGGAATCCTGTTCTTTGTGTTTATTTATTTGTGTGTCCCAGCGCCCCTTCAATTGAGCGCGCCGCGGCCGACCTAGGCCGCCGGCCGCGCGAGTGGCCCAGGCTCCTCGAGGCGCGGCGCCAGCGTCAGAGCATCCGCGCGCAGTGCCATTACTACTTGCGCGGGGCCTCCGTGGGAGACTGCGCCGCGCCAGAGGCGGAGTGCGATGTGGGGCATGTGGGGTTGTATCTGGATCCAGGGGTGCGCGAAGCAGTCGTGAGCTTCAGCAGGGTTGCGTCCAGCGACTGCGTCGCCGGCGCTCTTCAGGCGGCCGCGTCCGGTGATTGCGTTGCCCGCGCGCCCCGGAGTGCCGCGCCCAACGTGTTTGCCGCCGTCGAGGCCGCGGTCGTCGAGCGCGACGCCGACCCTCTGTCCGACGACAAAATGTCGAGTTCGTCGAAGGAGGTCGCAGCGGCCGTTTTCGAGGAGCTCGCCATCTGGTTCATCAGCGAAAGTTTCGAGAGGCGACCGTTCCAAGGCTACCGAAACGTAGTGGACTCCAGGCGCGTCTTCAAGTGGAAGCGCTGGGCGGGGTTTATACGGCGGGACTGTCGGGGTCACCCGGCACCGCGTGGCGCTGGGGGGATTCCGCGACGTGGGCGCCAGGCGTCGCCCCGACTGGGCGCGCGTCGCCGTTCTTGCAACGCGTGACCTATGCAGAGACGCACGAGCAAGGCGAAGCACCTCGAGAGGTGGAATTCACCCAGCCGCCAGCCCTTGCAGCTATCCTCTCAGTTACCGGAGCTTCGGCGAGCAGACCGAGTGCCTGCGCTGCGTCGGGCCGGGTGCGGGCTGCAAGGATGCGCCTGGAGCCTTCTCTATGAGGCTCGTCTGGGTCGCGCGTTCACCGGGGCGCATCGCCAAACCTGTCGGGTGGGGCCTGAAGCTTGAGGGCAGGCGCGTGGCGTCCAGCAGTTGCGCTTCCGGCGTCTGGGGGCCAGTGCCCGTGCTGTCCAAGCGCGTTGGTGGCGTGAAGATCGCGGGACAAATCGAGCACGTCGAGTGGCGAATCAGCCGCGTCGAGAGCGTCTAGGGTGAGTGCGACGTCTTCGCCAACTACGGAGTGCGCCAGCGCCGCAGTGCGATAGCACCGTGGCGCTCGACAGCGACGAGTACACCGACGCTCTGATGCCGATCGGGCACGCCGAATTGGTCAAGGCCAAGGCTGACGTGCTGGCTGGAGGTCAGCTCCCCGACTGTTCGCCCCCTTCCTGGGAACGTCGGCTCTCGCCCTGCTCGCCCAGCACCGCGTCGCAGCGTTCATTGCCACCCTGCAGAGAGCCCAGAACATGCTGCTCATCTGGCGCGCGATGCACTTCAACTCCGTTGTTCTAGCCGCGCAACATCAAGGCGCGCGTCGCATGTCCATCATAGAGTGCGCTGGGCGGCTCAGCGTGCGCAGCGGCAGTTCTTTCGAGGGGGGGGGGGGGGGGCAGAGTCAGGGTGCTGCGTGGGTGGGTGGGTGGGTGGGTGGGTGGGTGGGTGGGTGGGTGGGGGGGGGGTGGGGGCGTGTGCGCGCGTCTCGGCAAGCGCCGCCGCGCCTGCAAACAGGTGTGCCACCTGCTGGGCGCAGCGAGCCCATCGCGCGAGTTTGTGTGGAGGTCTTGATTTCTTTACGAACTGCTCGCAGCATGCCGCGCAGCAGACGGGCTGCAGGTGCGCCTTCTCGCCCTGCGCGAGATGGTGCGCGACCCCGCCTCCGCCGAGGAGATCAGAGTGATACGGGGGGGCGGGGGGGAGATGCTCGGTTCCCGCAGACCTCGCCATGGACGGCGCGTCCGTCTTCAGCGCCCTGCTCGCGGGCCTGGCCCGGCCGCCGTCCGAGAACGGCATGGCTGGCCGCCTGTGGATGTTAGCCGACCAGCTACGCACCAATCGGATCGACGACTTGACCCTCGGGGCAGGCGGGCCGACCCCGTGACCAAGGGCAGCGTGGGCCGAGATCTAGTCGTCAGCGTGGTGGACGGCCAGATGAGCTTTGGCCACGCCACGGTCAAATACAGCGACGAGAAGCTGAATGATGCCGTCCCGAGCTCGCAGCATAGGTCACTCACGCAGAAGCACGAAAATTACTCTCGTGGCTGTGTCACGAGGTCACACGGAGTCGGTGAGCGGATGGATGACACCAGCGGACGAGATTGACGAGTCGAGCACTTTGGTGAGCGGGTCCGCGCCGTGTCCGGGCAGCTCGCGGATCTTGAACAGAGCTTTTTAATTGTCTCGCACTGGCGGGCTCTAGCGGGGGCGCTTCCCTTCCTGCCAGTGGCGTCGTACAGCGTTTTTGCGCTTGGCGCTGTGGTGGTCGATGGACCTTTGGAATGGAGTGAAGTCCGCCAACCCAGGGGCCCGTCGAACTTTGGTGAACTGGTTTGGTGAACTGGTTCCCTAGCGGCGAGGCAACTTCTATATGAGGGGCGGTCAGTAGAACCCTTCTGCAGCTGTTTGCTTGATTTTTTACAAAGCGCGACGGACTTGTTTGAGCGCCAGACTCGAACGGTATGTCCTCCTGCCTTGCCTGCTTCTCACCCTGTCCTTGCCGTTGTCGTTTTGGATCTCATGGGTCTTTTACGGCGCCCGCTTTGCATCGTCGGACTCGTGCAGCGCGCTATACGTCTTTTTTCCAGAGACCATCTTCCGCTTTCCTGCATCATTTCTCGTCTCTCTGCTCGTTTGTCCTGCTTGCCACCCCCTCCCTTCCCGTGTCTTGCGTCGCGCGGCGTCAGAAACCAGTGCCGATGTCGTTGCGACCCGGGCCTGCCGTGTTCTGGGCCCGCGCCGATGATCCTCCTCCTCTTGGCCCCGGCAGCGGCCCCGCCCGCCCGAGGACAGCCCCAACGAGGGCGTGCGGCCCGTCTTCCCGGGCGGCAGGAGGGGCTACCCGCGGCCCCGCCCGCAAGGGGGGGGACGACGAGCAACAGCGAAAACATATTGGGATCGTCGACGAGGGGGGGGGAGTTGCTCAGGGGGGGACGCGTCGACCACGAGTCGCCCATTCCTCGCCGATCGGGGCCCGGGTGCTCAACCGTGCTCTGGAACGTGCGTCTTCTCCATCCGGGCCTCTCGCCGATCCATCGGCGATTCAACGTCGATGTCCTCGGCGGTATCGTCGTCTTGTTTGCGTGAGGTTGCCCTGATATTGGGGCGCGTTCAAACGGGGGTGATGATTGCTGGGGAGGGGTGGATAACGTTTTCGTTGATTGTTTAGTGTTTTCTTGGCTTTTGGTGCTTTCCATCAGCTGCTCCTCGTTGGGAGGTTTCTGGGAGTGCCCGGGTCCTGCCAGACGGCAGTTGGATGCCCGAGTGACGACCTACAAATCAGAAGGCGTCGAAAAGGGGGTGAGGACTAGGGGTGTGTGGATGTCGTGGCAGGGGGCACGGGATCTCCCGGATTACAGAGCTCCCTAGCGTTCCTTCAGTACGTCCCCTGGCCCTCCCCTTCGTCCGCGCACGTGCCTTGGGCCCGTATGCGCAAACCCCCCTCTTTCTGGTCCCCGCCTTCGCCGCGCCCGAGAATGTGCCTGATATAGTAACATGATGTCTTCGCGACGGTCTGGATCACGCACAGTTCCCCCGCCGGCGAAGCGAACGGAGGTACCGAAGGCCGAGGAGGGATGCGCCCGGGGTGCAGGTGGTGCCCTGGCAGCGAGCCCGTTCGCATCTCCCCCGAGACGGAGTTCGTGCACTTCGACCACATGGGAGGCGCGGGGGCGGGGCGCGATCGGCTGGCACGGCGGCCGGGGGTTGGCTCAGCCACGGGCCCAGATTTCGGGCGGCCTCCGGGGTCCGCCCTCGGTCTACACCTTAGGCGATGCTTAAGAAAACTCAAGTTTTCGGCCAGAGTCTCGATTGTTCTTAACGTTTCAATGTAAATCTTAAGATTTTAATGGAAATGTTGGGCTTTTATTCAAGTTCTGAGACTATGAATTTCTTAACCCATGATTTCTTAAGCATTTCGCAGGGTGTACTGCCCCAAGGGGCAGGGATCGCGACCTCCTCTGGGGTCCGTGGATCAGAGAAGCTGAGCCGTCGGGGGTCTGGGGTTGGGACCTGCCCCTCGTGCCTCCTGCTTGTCGCCGAGAAAAATAGGCGGGCCGCTCGGAGCGTATTGCGAGACTTGTTTGCCAGTTGTTTGCTTATGATATTATTTTGTTTCCACGGCTCGCTTTACACGATATCCACAGGCACAAGTCTCCGCCTGCCCCCAAACCACCTCCTTGGCCCGAACACGACTGGCATTGGGAGGGGAGGTTCTGGCTTTGCGCGCCTTGCTGGCGGACGTTTAGGTCTGCTGCGAGGCCCTCTAGGGTCAGGTGTAGAGGAAAGCCAGCCATCAAGGGCTTCACGGTAACTGGGGACTCCTTAAGGGCAGCCAACATAAGCCCATCATTCTCGGATTCGAACGACGGGGAGGGACTCCTTCTAGCTTGTTTGACTTGTAGGTGCCACCCATGCTCGCTATCCGATCTCTTCTGTGTTTTTCTTGGCACGGGGGCTCGTACTGCTCGTGGTGGTTCATCCATAGGAAGTATTGCGAAGCCTGCTGACTGTTGGACTGGCCGCGCAGGCCCTCGCGGTCTAGCTTGTGGCGAGAAGGGTACGATACAAGAAACACCCTGCTTGCCTCCAGGGTGCCATGGGTTTCTTCGGTTTCGATGGTTCTGCTGTGGAAGGCGCGACGTTCCCACACCAAAAATCAATGGACGTCCTGGGGTCTCAGGGTTGGATTTCTGGTGGAAGGTTTCTTGTGGATTGACCTCCACTGTACAGGCTGCGCCTCTTCTTCTTCTTCTCTCTGTGTCTGGGTGCCTAGAGCGTCGGTTCTGGCGCCCGCTGCAGGCCCTGCGAGCTGCTCGCGCTTGGTCGTGTTCCTGGCTCCGTTAGTGTCTGGCCTCTGGTGGGCTTTCGTGTGAGGATGCCAGTCACGAGTGCAATGCTCTTTTTCGGATGCAACTCCTGGGAGGTCAAATTCTGACTATGCCCTTGTCCGAAGTCCCGCTTAGTCCGGTTTAATCCCGCTTGATCCGGCTTGCTCCAGTTTCATCCGGCTTACTCCCGCTTAATCCGCGGCCGAATCTGGCGTAGCAGCCCTCCCGCGCCTCCCGCCCCCTCCCCTCCCGGTCTGCTCCTGGCCTCCTCCCGCCCTCCTTCCCGCTCTCCTCCTGCGCCTCTCTCCCCCCTTCCCCCACCCCCTCCCACCCCTAGCGGGCCACATGCGAACCCTACCCCTACCCCCCCGATTTCTGAGGGGGAGGGTGGGGTAGGGTTCGCATGTGGCCCCCCCACCCCTCCCATCCCCCGAAGGAGAAGGCCTGCGCAAATGTGGGCCGTCGAAGGTCCGCGCGGAGCTCTTCGGTCTGCCACGGGGCCCCCTTGGTGCCGCCTCCACGGCGCGGATCCGCGACGTCCGCGCGGACCTCCGAAAGCTCATGTTTCTCTAGAATTTTCTTCTAACTTCCCGCCACCCTCCTCTCCCCCTGCTGGTGTGCTTACTCCTGGCGCTCCTCGGTGGCTCGTCGGGCCGAGGCGCGCTCCTCACGGTCTTCCAGTCCATGACCCTCGAGGCGGAACAAGTCTCCCTCCAGTGGCCGAGAGGGAGGGGGGAGAGCGGGTCGACGAGGAGCAGAAGGAACAGTGGCACGGATGGCGAGGAGCGAGCGACCGAGCGGGCGGATGAGGACAATGGCAATCATGAGAATGATGATGAGGATGAGGATGAGAAGGATGAGGACGAGGATGAGTGTGTGGATGAGGGGGGTGATGATGCTGGTGCTGCTGATGATAATGATTCTGATACTGACGATAGCCATGGAGGTGATGCTGCTGCTGATGGTGGTGATGATGATGCTGCCGACGATGATGATGCTGATGATGCTGATGCTGATGATGCTGATGATGCTGATGATGATGCTGGTGATGGTGATGGTGATGATGATGATGATGCTGATGATGATGACCCTGATGACAACGATGATGAGGAGGATGAGGAGGAGGGGTAGGAGCAGGACGAGGAGGAGGATCAGGATGTGTGAAGATGAGGTGTTTTTTTTTTCGGGGGGGGGGGGTCTGGGGAGCTCTTGCGGGGTTCAGGAGTCTCTGTGGCGTCATGGGGTTGAAAGAGTCTTAGGACGGTGGTGGTGATGCTGATGATGATTATCATGTTGCTGCTGATGATGATGATGCTGCTGATGATGATGATGGTGCTGATGATGATGACGACGACTGTGAGGATGATGCTGATGCTGATGCTGATGATGATGATGATGATGATGATGATGATGTTGTGACGATGCTGATGCTGATGATGATGCTGATGATGATGTTGATGATTCTGATGATGCTGATGTTGATGGTGATGACGACTATGATTACGATGATGCTTATGCTGATGATGATGCTGATGATGACGATGCTGATATTGACGATGATCACGATCATCATGATGATGATCACGATTAATATGTCGATGGCGATGATGATGACGATGACGATGACGAGACGATGACGATGACGATGCCGATGCTTCTGCTGCTGATGATAATGATAATGATAATGATGATGATGATGACGATGATGGTGGTGATGATGGTGATGATGATGCTGATGCCGATGCTGCTGCTGATGATGATGATGATGATGATGATGATGATGATGATGATGATGATGATGATGGTGATGATGATGATGATGATGATGATGATGACGACGACGACGACGACGATGATGATGATGATGATGATGATGATGATGATGATGATGATGATGATGATGATGATGGTGATGATGATGATGATGATGATGATGATGATGATGATGATGATGATGAGGATGATGATGATGGTGGTGGTGGTAGTGGTGATGATGGTGATGATGATGATCTGGAGGAGGGCCAGAAGGGGGAGGAATGTTACAGTGCGTGTGGAATTCCTGCTGCCTCCACCGTTTTGCCACAACCAAGTAGGGGGTCTCGGGGATGGTATGGTCAGAAACGTCGCCCGCTCAAAGTGTCGCTGCTGGTTCTGGCTCGGCAGCGCTATTGCGCAGCGCAGGGGCGCTGAGCCCAGCGTGGTGTTGCAGAAAGCCGAGGCGCGGCAGCTACGGTGCGCCCTCGGCGTGGACCGCGCTGCCTGCTCTGCTTGGCTCCGGGCAGCGCTGACCGGCTGAGCCGGCGCCAGGGCGTGTTGCCGCTGCGCGCCATCCGCTACTTGCCATCATCACCGCGTTGCTCGTGTGGCTCAGCGGATTTGGGGTTGTCTCCAGGAGGAGCAGGCAGGGGGCAACGACCGCGAAGGGAGGTGGAGGGGGAGAGGAATATGAGGGTGAAGATGCCGAGGACGGGGCGGGGATCATGAAAAAGAGGGCAGGGGAAGAATGGTGAGAGGCAGAGGAAGTTGTTCCAGGACGATGATCATGACGATAATGATGATGGTGCTTATCCTCTCCCCGTTGTTGTTTTTGCGCGCTCAACTTCCTTCTTTCCCGTGCCCCCTAAGCAGCTTGTCTCTGCAGGTCTCGTAAGTGCAGTTTCCCAAGGTCTAGTAAGTGGGTTACTGGATCTGGAATCGGTAAGGGCGACGTGTCCTTCCGTTGCCTCCCGTTGCCTCCCGTGGCGCGCATTCGGATTTGTCCTCGTATTTGTAATGGGCGTAGTAGAGTTCGTGTTATTCTTCACGTTCCGCGTATCCCCACCAGCCATCCGCACATTCAACACGGCGGCCTGCTCACTGTGGTCGGGCTGCGGTGCCTAAGTGCGTTTGAGTTCATTTTGTTCTGTGCACGTGCAACTGCGAGCCTGTCTTGCAGGTGCGAGCTTTGTCCGCCGACTCTGGCTGGCGGCGAATTGTCTTGCAAATTAGCCCCGTACCGTGACCCGGACGCCGCTTCTGCTCCCTGTCCGTTGCCTCGGAGCCGCTGACCAAAAGTATCCCCACCAGCTGCCGCGCAACTCGCGGTTCCTCCCCTGGCCTCGTCGTGTGGTGGTGCCGTCCCTCCACCGCTCCGACTCTCGGCCTTGCCGCTCAAATTGCGGTTCCTCTTTCTGGACTAGCGGCCGTCCCGGCATCGCTTTGTCCAGCACTCGCCGGCACGTGCGGTTGGTTCCCTCGGCCCTGGCTTCTGCTTGCCCGAGATGGCCTTCCGCTTGTCATCCCTTTGTGTGTCAGCCCTGTGCGTGGTGCCCATTCGGGGCCGTGTTGGGTCAACCTAACACCGTCTCGCGCACCGGTACGTGGTGACCCGCGCCATTTTGGCTGCGTCGCGGCTATGCCGTTTCCCGCACGCGTGCGTCCTGCTGCCTCGGGGTCTCTCGGCTTCCGCCACCCTGGGAGTTGCAGCCTGCCAGTGCGCTCGTCTCCTTGCGTCAATTCTTTGGCTGACGGTCCTTCGGACCACCCTGGCTCTCGCGCTCACGCCGACGTCCGGGGCCTCGCCTTTGCATTTCTCATTCCTACCTCGACTGGCGGTTCGTTGGGCGCGGCCACCCTGGTGCCCACGCAGTCGCTTGAAGTTCGGTATCATGCATTCTCTCTCGGAGTTGTCCCGCCGTCGTTTATATTCCGATTTTTGGCGCCTCCGACGGATTTGCAACTTTGCACGCTGGCAGTTCCATTCAGTTTCAGTCCCTCCAGCCATCCACCTGCCGTTGGGCTGATGCGTGAGGCCTCGGCCGGCGCGTAGCTGTTGGCTTGTGCGCCGCCTCTGCCTAATTAGTCTCTGCGTAGCCCGCTTGGACCTGACTCGCCGCTGGCGCGCTCGCCCGCGGCCGCTGACTAAACAGTATCCCCACCAGCTAGGGTTTGGGAGTATCGCTTCTGCCTCTTCGGACGCCACCGGGAATGGGTCTACCAGTTCTTTTCGCCCTTCTGAGCTGACGCCCTGCTGCGCCTGTCTTGCTTTTCCGCTGCCTAGTCGTGGCCCGGCTAGAGTTTGGACGCCTGTTGACCCGCCTCGCGAGATTGTTGACCAAAAAGTATCCCCAGCGGCTTGCGCGCTTAGTGCTTAATTTAGTCCGCTGCTCGGTAGCCGCGCTTCGACTTGACGCCGAGAGATATGTCCCTACGGTCGCGATCAAAAGAGTATCCCACTAGCCCTTTCAGAAACCCTTACCATGAGAGCTGGCGGGAAAAGGAACGAAGGAACAGAGTGAAACACAGCGGGCAACCAGGGTGAACAGGGGGATCTGGAGCAAGGATGTCTGCAACATTGGAGGGTGCCTTCAGGCCATCCCTTGGGCCCGCATGAGGGCGGGGGAAGGGGGAGGAAAAGGAGGAGGAAGAGGAGGAGGAGGAGGAGGCGGAGGAGGAGGCGGAGGAGGAGGAGGAGGAGGAGGAGGAGGAGGAGGAGGAGGAGAACGATGAAGACGACGACGACGACGACGATCACGACGACGAGGAAAAGGAGCAAAAGGAAAGGACGTGGATGAGGGCAATGACGAGGACGAGGAGGAGAAAGAGGAGGAGGAAGATGAGGAGGAGGACAACGAGGACGAGGACAGAGCCCTCAAAATCGCCTCTTGGAGTCTCTTGGAGTGGGGCTCTTTTGGGGGATCTCGGGGTCCTCTTGGGGCTCTTTTGTTGGGTCTTGGGGCCCCCTTTTGGGGCTATCGTGGAGGCGTCGGTGAAAAGAGCGGGGTCCTCATGTTTGGTTTCCTCCCTCCGGAGCCCTCGCAATCGCTCCTTGGGGCCCAGACTGCTGGGCCACTGTGGAAAGTTGCGCAGGGTCTTCTTCCGCAGGGGTGTCATTTATTCAGGTGCTCGTTGTGTGCCGTCGCCGCCTTTGTCAAATTGTTTCGGTCTCTGCGCGCTTGCTTGTTGCTGGAGCTGTTGTCGTCGTCCTTCTCATTCCCTCATTTCCTACTGCCTCCTTCATCTCTCTGCCATGCTTCCTCGTCGTCTTTCCCCCCCACTCCACTCTTCCATTTTTTCTTTCTTCACTCTCCCCCTCTTCCTCGTTCTCCTCGTCCCCGCCTTCCTTCCCCCGCCTCGTCCTACCCCTCCTCACTTTTTTCGTCCTTCCCACCTTCCATTCTTCATTTATTTCCCTCATCCTTGTTCGCCTCCAAACCTCCACCCTATTACTCCTCGTCTTACTTCCGATATCAGCCAAACGTTTCCCTCTTCGCTTCCGCCCCTCTGTTTTCATATACCTCTCTCTATATATATATTGTCCTTCCTTCCTCCTAATTTTTATCCCTGTCCGCCTCCCCTTCTCCTTCTCTCTTTTCTCCACCTTGCCGTCGTCGTTCTCCTTCTCCTCCTTCTCCCCTCCTCTCTCCTGCCCCCACCTTCAGCCTTCGTGCATTGATGCACGTCGTAGCCCCCCCCCGTCGCGTAGGGATGGACGGAGTTCATGTATTACGCTCAGGAGCGTGCCCGATCTGTCGTGCGGGGGACCACATGAGGTGGGTGGCGAGATGTGGAAGGGAGATGCGGGGAGGGAATGAGGGTTTACGATTTGCTTTGTCTTCGTTGTCCGCTTCTCTTCCCAGCTGCCCCTACTTCCTGCCTCCGTGTTCCGCGCCCGTTCTGCCTCTGGTCTTCTTGGCGTGTCGTTCTCGTTCGCGCTTTTCTCTCACCCAGTCAAGCACGTGGTATCGCAACTTTGGTCGCGGCATCTCAGTAAACGTATTTTAGGCTCTGTGAATTCAAGCGGGCTCGTGTTGAATGGGTGGGAGTGGGGCCGAGGGGTGGAGGACAGGGATTTCGCGGGTTCTATTGGTTTCATGGCTTCCGGGGTGTCTGCGGGGTTCTAGAGGGTCGCATCATGTAGGGGGAGGTGGATGAGGATGACGACGACGACGATGGCGTTGTTGATGGTGGTGATGATAATGCTGCTGCTGATGATGATGATGCTGGTAGTGCTGATGATAGTGGTGGAGGTGGTGGTGCTGACGATGATGATGATGATGATGATGATGATGATGATGATGATGATGATGATGATGATGATGATGATGATGACGATGCTGATGCTGATGCTGCTGATGATGCTGCTGATGATGATCATGATGATAATGATGCTGATGATGATGCGGATGATGATGCTGCTGATGCTGATGCTGATGATGCTGATGATGCTGATGATGATGATGATGCTGTTGACGACGATGACGACAATCGTGGTGATGATGTTGCTGCTGCGACTGATTATCCATGATGCTGATGCTGATGATGATGATGCTTCTGCTGATGATGCTGCTGATGATGATGCTGATGACGACGATGTTGATGATGATGCTGATAATGATGATGCTGCTGCTGATGATGATGACGACGACAATGACGATGCTGCTCGTGGCGGTGGTGATGATGCTGCTGCTGCGTCTGATCATCCATGATGCTGATGCTGATGCTAATGCTGATGCTGAAGCTGATGCTGATGCTCGTGATGATGATGACGATGATGATGGTGACGACGACGACAATGACAATGATGTCAATGCCGGTGATGGCGATGACGAGGATGATTATGTTCAGGGTGGTGAAGATGGTGATGGCGTTGATCTTGATGAGGAGGGTGACGAGTAAGAGGAGGAGGAGGACGAGGAGGAGGAGGAGGAGGAGGAGGAGGAGGAGAAGGAGTAAGAGGAGGAGGGTGGTGGTGTTGTTTTCTGTTGTGGCCGTGCTGTTTATTCTGAGAATGATGGTGGTGATGGTGACGCTGGGAACACTGATGCTGATTCTGAGGATCTTGGCATCGATGGCAATAACGCATGAGTGCGTGGATGGCTTGATGCATAAGATGATGTTCTGATGGTGCTGATGATGACGTCAGTGATGGTGATGATGGTGGTGGGGACGACGATGACGATGTTTACGATGAGGAGGGGAAGGAGGACGATGAGTGGGAGGAGGAGCGCGAGGATGATGAGGACGCGCAGGAGTGCTCGATAGCCAACCTGCGGGCACGGCTGCTGCCATGTTGTGCGGACGCACGCGCCCGCCCAGTTCTTACGCGGCAGCGCCCGCGCGCAATACGCCGCCGACGCACTCGGTGCAGACGTGGATGCATCTCGATGTGTGCAGAAGCGGAGGAGCGCACATTTCGACCCGCCTTTCGTCAGTCGGTGACTTTTTCTGCGGGTGCGCGCGTGTGTGAAATCCGTGCGCGGGATGGGCGGGCAAACATAAGACGTCCGAGGGGGGGGGGTGAAAAGGCGAACGAGGAAACCCGGCCGCGAACCGGGGAGTTCTTTCCCGAATGGGGAGACTTGCCCTGGTCGGACGGGGAATTTTTCCGGGGCGACCGGAGCGATTCTCCGGGGGCTCCCGGGGGCTCCCGTGTCGAACGGGGGATTTTGCGTTTCAGCGAGGAAGTTTTGTTTGGCCGACGGAGGACTGATTGGTTCTTGGTGCCATCGCGTGTGCGGCTGGATGCAGGCTGCCGTAGAAATGGGAACCGCTGGAGGGCGCGGGCGGGTGCATTCGGCTTTAGTCAGGATGGGAAAGAACATACAGTCACAAGTAATCGTCGATTCCCAGAAAATAGAGGAAAATATGGGAAGTGAGGGGGAATACGAAAACCGCAAAATATAGGAAAATATGGGAAATCCTTTTATTTGTGTGTATTTATTTGTGTGTCCCTGGACCCCTTGATTCAGTTTGGGCTGGTTCATCGGTTTCATTTTCCACTTCCGCAGCCTTTCCAAGGACAAACGCTGGGTCCTCGGGTCATCCAGGGGCGACTGGCAAGCGAGTTGCTTTAGTTTTGAAAGCTTTGTTCCTGGCAGTGGTCTGCAGGCAGGGTGCAGATCCCGTTTCTGAGGCACGGCTTCCTGCCAAGTCGGGCGCTCCAGAACTTGCCTCGCCTCCGAGGGTCGAAGGAGTTGCCATCATTTCCGCGGCGGAAGGCCCGTCGATGGGCCCGTCGATGGCAAATCCCAGCGTTCCTGGGTGTGGTGTGGCTCTCAGACCCGTGTCGGCGACAAGTGGGCCATCGTTGGTCGACCCGTTCCCCCCTGGGCTTATAGTCGAAACGGATACTCCAGATTTCGTAATATAAGGGAGGGGGTCTGGACCCTCCAAGACAAGCCATTTCAGACCTCCCCCGTGGGAGAACCCTCCGAAACATCGTCCCCAGACCCCCCAGGCCCTCCAAGATAGCCTGGAAGAGACCCCCCCCCCGAAATTAGACCCCCCTCCCTTTATTACGACATCTGGAGTAGCCACGGTGCGCGATGAGGAGGCCAGCCCCCTGCGGGCGCTCACGCCCAGGCCCTTCGCGCCGGGCCGGCCAGCGAGAGAGTGGCTCAAGACGGAGGGCCGAGGCAGGGAGGCGATGGCTCCGTGCGAAGGCGCTGGTTCCCGTGGGAAGGTTCACCCATCCATGCCGTCGGTTTCGACTGCAACGAAGGATTGCAAGAAAACGAAGGACTGCAAGAAAACGAAGGACTGCAAAAAAACGAAGGATTGCAACAAAAACGAAGGTTTTTTTTTTTTTTGCAATCCTTCGCAAAAGCTCTCCGCGTCGTTGCCCCCCGACTGACGGCGTCGCGCCCCGTCGTCGGCCTCCGCGCGCCTTTTGGCCGAGCCCCCGTCGTCGGCGCCGTTTTCGCTCGCCGCCCGCCCGCCCGCGGCCGCCGGCGCCGACGCCGTGCGCGCTCTGCGCGCGTGGCCCGTGATCACGTGATGGGTTGTGATGTGATTTGGCGTTCGCCATGCGTGCGCCAAGGGGAGCTCCTCCTCCTCCTCCTCCTCCTGCTTCTCCTCCTCCTCCTCCTCCTCCCTCTCCTCCTCCTCCTCCTCCTCCTTCTCCTCCTGTGATCAGCGGCTATGCCCTGAGATTGAAGACTCGGGTTGGCCGGCAGTTCCTGGGAAAGGGGGGGGGAGTGTTCACAATCAGGGCAGGCGCGTGCTTCTTGAGCAGGCCGAGGGAGTATTTTCCTCCTGAGGCCCACAGGACACGTGCGAAGTGTCGTGCCTCCCTCCCCCCTGACTCGTCCTCCTCCTCTTCCCTCCGCCCTCCTCCTCTCCCGCCTCCCTTACACTTCCCTCCTCCCTCCTCTTCCTCCCTCCTCCGCTCTCCTCCTCCCCTCCTCCTGACTCTTCGTTTGCCCTCCTCCTCTTTCTCGTCTCTCCTCTTCTTCCTCGTCGTCGTCCTCTCCCTCCTCTCCGTCCTTCCTCCCTCATCTTCCTCTTCGCCCGGCCGTGGTTTGTGTTTCCCTACTCGCCCCCGTGTGTTGTGTCTCCCGGTAGGGGAACCCCTCCCCCGTAGAATCATAGTTTGGGCTGCAGGTCCAAGGCTCCGTGGATTCATTTCCCTTGGGTCCCTTGTATGATTTTTTAATGAGTTTATTCCAGCAGAAGAATTGGATCCACGAAGCTTCCACGCCAAAAATTGGATCCACACGACACGGAAATTGGATCCACGTGACTCTCGTGCACACGTAATTGGATCCAAATAGATCCATGCGTTCCCATGCACGAGGAACAATTCGGCCTGGGGATGAAGAGTTTTGCACCCATTCTGCCCTTCAGCACAGGGGTGGTGGTGGCACAGTGCACGTAGCATGCCAGTGTTGGCGGGGGAGGCGGGGGTCAAGACCCCACTGAAGAGTTTTGCACCCCTTCTGCCCTTCAGCACAGGGGCGGTGGTGGCACAGTACACGTAGCATGCCCGTGTTGGCGGGGGAGGCGGGGGTCAAGACCCCACTGAAGAGTTTTGCACCCCTTCTGCCCTTCAGCACAGGGGCGATGGTGGCACAGTACACGTAGCATGCCCGTGTTGGCGGGGGGGACGGGGGTCAAAACCCCACTTGAGCAGGTCGAAAGATTTTCCTCTTGAGGCCCACATGACACATGCGAAGTGTCGTGCCTCCCTCCCCCCTGACTCGTCCTCCTCCTCTTCCCTCCGCCCTCCTCCTCTCCCGCCTCCCTTACACTTCCCTCCTCCCTCCTCTTCCTCCCTCCTCCGCTCTCCTCCTCCCCTCCTCCTGACTCTTCGTTTGCCCTCCTCCTCTTTCTCGTCTCTCCTCTTCTTCCTCGTCGTCGTCCTCTCCCTCATCTCCGTCCTTCCTTCCTCATCTTCCTCTTCGCCCGGCCGTGGTTTGTGTTTCCCTACTCGCTCCCGTGTGTTGTGTCTCCCGGTAGGGGAACCCCTCCCCCGTAGAATCATAGCTTGGGCTGCAGGTCCAAGGCTCCGTGGATTCATTTCCCTTGGGTCCCTTATATGGGTTACTTTTATTAAATTTATTCCAGCTGGCGAATTGGATCACGAAGCTTCCACGCCAAAAATTGGATCCACAGGACACGGACATTGGATCCACGTGGCTCTCTCACACACACGTAATTGGATCCAAATGGATCCATGCGTTCCCATGCAAGAGGAACATATTTTCGGCCTGGGGATGTATTCAGGTGTGCCTGGGGATGCATTCAGGTGTTCGTTTCGATGTATCGTGTTGTCTTTGTGTATCGGCAAAAGGAGGTGGGAAGTATTGCGTTAGCAGGGCTCCTTGTGTTTCGTGGGCATTCGGGTTTCTTTCCGTGGTGTGTGGAGGCTTCCAACAATATTTTTCTAGTCCAACGTCCGTAAGTTTCTTCGTTCGACGGCTCTTGTAATCATGTGGTGGGCTGTTTTTTGGCGTGGCGTTCGCACGAACGGCGGCTGCTGCCCCCAACTTTACAATTCGGGTTGGGCGGGAGCTGTTGGGATGAAGGGGGGATATTTTACGATTCGGGCAGGCGTGTGTTATTCAGGCGTTCGTTTCGATTTATGATGTTGTCGTTGTGTATCGGCAGAGGGAGGTTCGAAGGCTGGAAAAAGGGGGGCGAGTTTTTTTCTTTTTTTGCAGGGCTTATTTTTTTCACGGGTGTTCGGGTTTCGTTCCATGGTGCGTGGAGGTTTCCAGGGAGTTTCTGCTTCCAGCGTCCGTGAGTATCCTCGCTCGACGGGTCTTGCAAGTGGGCTTTTTTTTCGCGCAGCGTTCGCTTGATCAACGGCTGCTGCCCTGGCATTGAAAATTCGGGGTGGCCAGGGTTTTTCGGGGAAGAGGGTGAGTTTTCAAGATCAGGGCAGGCGCGTGTTATTCAGGCGTCTGCGTTGCATTTTCATGTAATCGTCGTGTGTTCGAGCGCTGAGGTTCGAAGGCTGGGTTGGGTCTAGAGAAAAGATTTCGTTTTCGTTGTTTTTTGCGGTCGTTCGGGTTTTGCTCCGTGGTGTTCGGAGGTTTCCAGCAGGACTTTTTTTAGTCTAGTGTCCGTAAGTTTCCTCGTTCGACGGTTTTTGTTATCATGTGATGTGTTGTTCTTCGGGGTAGCGTTCGATTGATCATCATCTAATGCCCTAGATTTGAAAATTGGGGCAGGCGCGCGTCATTTAGCTGTTCGCGTTCCATCATTATCTGATCGTTATGTATAAGAAAAAAGACGTTCAACGGCTGGGGAAAGGCCCGGAGACAAGATTGGGTTTACAGGGCTCGTTGTTTCTCGCGGGTGTTCGGGTTTCGTTTCGTGGTGTCTGGAGGTTTCCAGCGGGAGTTTCCTATTACAGCGTCCGTAGGTTTCTTCATTCGACGGCTTTTGGAAGCTTGCGATGGGTTTCTTCTGGGCGTAGCGTTCGCCCGATCGACAGTTATTGCTGTGACATTGAAAACGCAGGGTGACCGAGAGTTCTTGAGAAAAAGGGGGTCTCATAATTAGGGCAGGCGTGTGTTATTCAGGTGTCGTTGTGTATTTGCACAGGACAGTTCGAAGGCTGGACAAAAAGGGGGTCTAGGAAAACGATTGCGTGTACAGGGTTTCTCGTTTTTCGTGGGTGTTCGGGTCTTGTTCCATGGTGTCTGGAGGCTTCCAGCTGGGGTTTTCTATTCCAGCGTCCGTAAATTTCTTCGTTCGACGGCTTCTGTAATCATGTGATGGGTTGTTATTTGGCGTAACGTTCGGCCGAACAACGGTTGATGCCCTAAAATTGAAAACGTGGTGTTGCCGAGGATTTTTCGGACAGGTAGGAGCTTTCAAAACTAAGGCAGGCGTGTGCTATTCAGGTGCTCGCTTTGCATGTCCATTTCGTCTCCATGCGTTGGAAGAGGGAGGTTCGAAGGCTGGGTTGGGTCTTAGGGAAAGAATCACGTCTTCATGGGTCGTTGTTTTCGCGGGCGTTCGGGTTTCGCCCCGTGGTTTTCGGAGGCTTCCACCAGGAGTTTCTTTTTCCAGTGTCAGTATTTTTCATCGTTCGGCGGCCGTCGTTATCATGTGATGTGTTGTTCTTTGGTGTAGCGTTCGCCCGATCAACCGTCACTGTCCCAGAATTGGAAGCTCGGGGTTGCCGAGGGCCCTTCGGGAAAGAAGGCATTGTCAACATTAGGGCAGGCGTGTGTTATTCAGGTGGTCGCTATTTATTATTACGTTGTCGTTGCGCATTGGACAAAAGGGAGGTTCGAAGGTTGGGTTGGGTCTAAGAAAACGATTGCGTTTACAGGGCTCCTTGTTTCTCACGGGCGTTTTCGTCTCGGCAATAGGTTCCTGTTCCCTCGTCTGTAAGTTTCCTCGCTCGACGGGGGAACATTCCCCGCTTGTTCGACATAATGTCCTCGCCCGGCCGAGGAATTTCCCCCCGCTCGCCCGGAACAGTTCCCTCATTCTGTTTGGGGAATGCCTTCGTTCGCCCGTCGTTTTTTTTTTTTTTTGTTTCTTTTTGTTTTGTTCCAGTTCGCCTGTCAGCTTCGGTTGGGAGGGGCTAGTTGTACTTCTGATTTTTTGGGGTGATGTCATCATGACAAAGGGAAGTCGTAGGAGGACCAGGTGGGAGGGAGGATGAACGCCCGAGGAGGGATGGATGGAAGGGGGATGGAGGGGCGGGCCGGATGATGCTGATGCTGATGGTGATGCAGCTGCTGCTGATGATGATGATGATGACGATGATGTTGATGATGATGATGATAATGAGGACGAGGATGAGGATGAGGACGATGATTATGAGGATGCTGCGGCTGATGACGATGGTGATGCGGATGATGCGGATGAAGCGGATGATGATGATGATGATGCTGCTGTTGATGATGGCGAGGAGCAGGAGGAGCAGGAGGAGGAGGAGGAGGAAGAGGAGGAGAAGGAGGGGGAGGAGGAGGAGGAGGAGGAGGAGGAGGAGGAGGAGGAGGCGCGGGCGCCCGACGCTGAGGACGGCTTTGGCCTCTGGTGGGGGACGATCTACTACCTGCTGCTCGTCTTTGCCCCTCCGACCGTGGCGGCAAAAGGAACCCATGGAGAAGGAGGACGAGGAGGAGGAGGAGGAAAATGAAAATGAGGAGGAGGAGGAGGAAAATGAAAATGAGGAGGAGGAGGAGAAGGAGGACGATACTGAGGGAGCGGAGCTGGAGGAGGATGAGGAGGAGGATGAATATCGAGGCTGAAGTGGAAGAAGACACATAAGAGGGCAAAGATGAGGCTCACGATGCTGCGTTTGATGACGATGACGTTGTGGCGACGACGGCGACGATGACGATGATGATGATGACGGCACTGACGATAATGACGATGATTGCTGATGATGGTGACTGTGCTGCTGATAATATCGATGCTGATGCGGATGACGATGATGACGATGATGATGATGACGATGGTGACGATGATGATTATGATGGTCATGGTGAGTATGCTGACGCTGACGATGATGAGGATGCTTGTGATGGTGATGATGGTGAAAGTGATGATGATGACGACGATGATGATGATCACGATCAGGGTGATGTTGCGGATGCTTGTAATGTGACTGGTCCTATAATCGATGACCATGCTAATAGTGATGGTGCTGCTGCTGATGATGCTGATGATGATTAAGGTAACTGTGGTGGTGCTGATGATAGCGATGACGGTGATAGTGATGATACTGCGGTTGCTGCTGATGATGATATCGATGATGCTCATGCTGATGATGATGACGATGATGATGATGCTGATGATGATGATGATGATGATGATGGCGATGTTGACGATGCTGATGCTCGTGATGATGACGACGATGATGATGACGAGGATGATGCTGATGATGCTGATGAAGCGGATGACGATGCTGACGATGATGGTGATGATGCTGTTGCTGTCTCTGATAACGACGATGATATTGATGATGATGATGATGATGATTGTGATCTTGATGATGATGGTGATGGTGATGCTGATGCTGATTCTCATGTTGATGCTGATGCTGGTGATGATGATGATGACGGTGCAGATGCCGATGTTGATGTTGATGCTGATGATGATGAATCTGATGCTGATGATGATGCTGACGAAGATGATGCTGCTATTGATGATGATGCTGCTGATGTTGACGATGACGGCACTGGCGACTCATACGGATGGTGACGATGATGGTGGTGATGCGGATACTGACGATGGCGATAACGATGATGGTGATGATGCTGATGATGCTGATGCCGACGATGGTGATGGTGATGATGATAATGATAATGATGCGAATGAGGACGATGACGGTGATGATGATGATGATGATGATGATGATGATGGTGATGCTGATGCTTGTGCTGAGGATGTTGCTGATACTGATGACGGTGATCGTGGCGATGATGATGACCATGTTGATGTTGATGACGATGATAATGACGATGGTTATGATGGTGATGATGGCGATGATGATGATGATGATGATGTTGCGGATTATGATGATGATGCTGGTGTTGCTGATAATGATATTGATGATGATGCTGCTGATGATGATGTTGTTGATGATGATGCTGATGCTGATGAGGATGCTGCTGATGATGATGACGCTGATGGTGATTGTGATGATGCTGATGCGGGTGACGAAGCTGACTATGACGATGATGATGGTGATCATGCTGCTGCTGACTCTAATTACGATGATGATGATGCTGCTGATGTTGACGATGATAATGATGGTGATGCTGATGCTGATGCTGATTATGGTGATGATGATGGTGATGATGATGATGATCATGATGATGATGATGATGCCGATGATAATGATGATGATGATGATGATGATGATGATGATGATGATGATGATGATGATGATCATGATGATGATGATGATTATGATGATGATGATGATGATGATGATGATGATGATGATGCCGATGATAATGACGACGATGATGATGTCGATGATGATGACCAGCGACGACGTCGGTGGCGACGATGATTATGATCATGATGATGCTGATGACAATGATGGTATGATGATATGATATGATGATGGTGGTGGTGATGATGAGGTATGAGGATTTGAATGAAGGTGAGAATGAGGGCGAGGTTGAGGGTGAGGATTCGGATGAGGTTGATGATGAGGATGATGCTGATGATGATACTGATTATGATGATGCTCATGATGATGATGGTGGTGATGCTGAT